AGTTTAAGGTCATCAGTGTGTCATAGCATTATTTCACCTGAATTGTCATCTACTTTAATGAAGAAGTCCATTTTCATACGGTGTCAGCTATAGCCACTATGTGACCCTGAAATAAATAAGCAGTTTAAAAATAATAATAATAAAAATGAACAAACTGTATACTGAAGGGTAGAGGCAGTTGCAAGTCACAAGTAAATGTAAAGCAGTATGCAATATGTAAATGAGCTCATCTCTAAACAAAACATAGGAACAAAGTGTGGCTTCTCTCTCTCTTGTGAAATAAACAAATAAACCTTTTCATAAATACCTGATAAAAGCCCATAATTAATTTGAATAACAGCATCAGATCAGGTGCTGTCTATAGGAATTGAAGGGTAACTAATTATCTCTGCTTGATTTTTCACAGCTGGCTAACTATTCTCAGGTTTTTAAAGGAGCCTCTACTACAATAGCTTGACATGCTTTTAAGTGGATAATGCATAATTCTTCTTCAGTTAACCCCAGTGTCACTGTAGAAAATCTACAAGTTTCTTCCCTAAGCCTGCTGTGTTATTTTTCTGCTGCAGACAACTAGTCAGTTGTTTGTATGAGCTGAAGTGATGTAAATGCTTGCCCCCCCAGCTACAAATCAGTAAACATCCCTAATCTAAAAAAGATTCACTGCAAGTTAAATATAGGCATGGATATAGGTTTAACAGTTTAGTATTATTCTCATCATAATTATATACCGCTTATAGATTTTGACGCCTCACAGTTTTTTTACAGTGATATTCGGCACCATCTTGCAGCACCTTTTGTCTCAACTCACTGGCTCCAGGAAACGGATGCAAATCAGGTACAAAATAACCTTCAAACCAAGGCCATAACAAGGCAAGTAAAGCACAACACCCTCTGTAAATTAATAAGCTGAACTGATTTTAATTTAAATTATAACTGTGGCTTTAAAAGAAATCCAACATTTGTTCAAGAGCTATCTGGAAGAAACTGTAAAGGTAATCTAGGTAACTCCGTGAAACAACCATTAATGGCTGCAGCTGGTGTCCAGATGATGATGGAGAGGGTCTTTCAGCCACAATAGTGACAGGCTCTCCATCACTTCGTGTGACTACCGTCAAGGCGAAAAATGAAGCCAACAAGAAAAAGGAAAAAACAAAACTCTAGTTCCTCTAGATGCCACTTGAGGCTGGCTCCAAAATTCCCAGAAACTTCCATGTTAAAATGGCCAAATTTATAGCACTAAAACCACATTCATAGCGTGGATGGTTTTAGCCTCAGTTTAACTTTAAACTGAGGCTTACAACTCAGGAGGAAGGCCAAAATAACCGACAGGTGTTCAAACACACACATCTGGAGCCCATGAAAGTCAAAGACCAAGCTCCACTACTTTAGAGTCCTTAAAGTGGACCTCATTATCATGGCTTGTAGTGTAGTAGAGACCATGCAAGAGGTTGTGCTTTAGTTTGGGTGAGT